CGCCTGTCTGTACGAGGCTGGATTTTCTGCAGTTTCGATGATGAAAAACATCATCGCAGCAGACCTGATGTTGACTCTTCCACAGAACTGTCAGTTTCAAAACGTGCAGCAAACACGCAGCATCAGAGGTCACACTGATAATGTGTGAGGCGAACTCTTAAATTAAACTGAAGATCGAATGTACATTTAAACCATACTACCGCCAATCTGTTTAACTTTTTGTAGTGAAGAATATATTTCATTTATATAAACTTCAGTTCAAATAGCAATTGAAATGAATTCATTTTCCTATAAATGTTGAAATACAATCAATAGTCCATACACCAACTGGGTGAGGTGGCTTTTAAAGGTTGAGAAACACTGATTTAACAACATACTTCCTTAAAACGCGAATAGTAGTTGTGCCATTAGAAACTCTCAAACTCTGCGACGCGCCTGCCACACCGTGGTCAATGTACTGCATTACACCTCTGTGTAACAACACTGTAATTCATAAAGACGAGGACGACGTTAGCTTTTGTGTGTAGATATACCCTAGCCATCATGTGTGACATTTTCAGTCCTAACCGGCACTGAAATTAGAACTCGAAATCGATGGTGTTTTACTTGGCGACAACAATACACCATTAATACATGATAACACTTCTTGAGAAAACCTGTGCTTGAAAAGTGACTATGATCATTCACGGCTGTTCGTGAGTGAATACAGGATTGCCGTGTATATTGTAGGAAAGCTTCAAAGCCTGGTTTGTAATGTCTGTGTACATCTATGTACGTGGAATTTGGACATTAAAAAGTAATAATTTAACCTGTCACATAAAAACAATTTATATGCCAAACTTCAAACACTTTATTAATCCTCTTGTATACAGAACTGAAACTCAAGAAACGAGCGTAAACAGAGCTCAAGTAGGGAGCTGCGTCAGCATGCGTAGGCTGCTAAGGAACAAGGCTTATTCCAATGCTGAAAATAAAACAAGAAACAGCCACAACGTTGCGTCTGTAGAGCCTTCTTCAGGTGTGAAAACGAAACATAACGTTGTCTCTTTTCTTTAATTTTCGGCGGGGACTGCACCGTGAACCGAGCTCGCCTGCTCCTCCCACTGGCTGGAGGTGCGCATGAGCGCCCCTTGCTACGCGCTGACGTCACACGTCCGTCATCACGTCCGTGTGCGTCGTTGTTTGGTAGGAAGCGGTGTGTCCGCCATCCGTAACCATAAACCCGGAGTTATCAAAATTAATAACGCCATCAAATATAAATACAAAAATAATTTTAAACGTTCCCGTAAAGACCAAGAAGACTGTTTGTCTTAAGAGTGGACGGCGCCTGGATAAGCAAGGACAGCAGACATGTCAGAAACATATGGTATGTAGCTTTCCTGTTGTGACACCCGGCTTTCGGGCTATTCTCACCAGTATTATAATAATAATAATAATAATAATAGACGTATTCACCTACAGGTTTCGTCAGGTGGCGGTGAGGCTCCGTGATGTTTGTTTGTGTCGCTTGTGTTTATTCTCGGTCATTAAGAGTCGACCTGCTCTGTGTAAAACGGCT